TGTTATCTACGTGAAAAATGTATTTACGTGTACCACATATGTACATGCCGTTATTTACTTAGACACGTCTGCGTGTAGATTCTATAGATTGAGTATTGGCCCCTGTTTTCGGATCAATGAAGTGAAGGTGATAATTTACAGTTTTGAGCACATAGCCATGGTAACTTGCTATAAGTTCTCTATTCGTCCGACTGTAATATCAGTCTCCGTACAACGTAGATATCTCCAAAACATAGATAACAACCAACAAAATCAAAAGCTCATGTAGATAACACATGACGCGAGTTCCGGGAGCTCAATAAAATCACAATTAAGGACAATTTTCCGACTCCACTGATCGACGATTAATTAGACCGAGTAGGTTAGGTTTTTATAGATATTTAGACATAATTACATATTTAAAAAAACGAATAATGATTTTTATTATTTTGTTATAGTTCAAAAACTATAAATAAAACTGTATAGTATTTTCTTGGGTATTAAAACTTTTACGTAGATATATATATTGTCTTTTCTTCAGGCAACAACATTTTTAAAATATGTAAAATATGTAGATTAACTTTCTGTTTATACTATGAACCTTTTGATATTATTTTACGATATTTACAGTACCTAGGAATTAAAGTATGCTTAATAAATTTTTATGCTTAAATCAGTTAATGTATTTTATAACGGTGTGTATTTATAATTTATACATATTATTTTATTAACTAAATTTTAATAATATTAAAAATGCCTTGTTTGTGAAAAAAAAATTAATTAATCTATTGGCTACAATAATACTAAAAGTAAAATAAATTATTTTATTAGCTATATCATTAATATAATCTGAAAAATTTTTTTCGCTGACAATCGTTTTTCGTATACGTATATAACCTAACCTAACGACATTGAATTTAAATTTAACACACACTCATCACACTTATTTTAGTGACCCACTCGATTATCAGAGCGATACTCACTTGTCTTTTTTTTATATAAAACAGATTTTCATGGTTTTATTTAAATTAAAATATGTTTTCCCACGTATAACATACAAAAAATTATGTTTTAAAATGTAAATCTAAACAGATTAACATGTAAGTATATACTTACCTATGTAACTAAATTGCATCGCATTGCACTCAGAGGTTGCACATAAAATACATACGTAGTATGATAATAAATCTAAGCAATTGTAAATATTTATGTTCTCATGACCTTAACTAATTATTACTTATATATTTATATCATCTATACATTTAAGTTCACGTACTGTGACGTTACTTGCAATTGTCGAGCTATTATAGTATTGTGTACTAACCTATCCTAGCTATGAATAAAAAAAAATAAAAAATAGAAAATATCGTAGATTTATCAAAATATCCTATATAATACTAGATAATCACTCTGTAAAATATCATGGTGGTGTTCAGAATGGAATTAAAAAGGTGTGAGTAAACTTTAGTTGTTGTGTGTATATAATATTATATATATATGTTACCGGCAATATGGATAATCCGGTATTTTATTAAAATACCGAAAATCACTCGGTAATATATATAATACGAGCTTTGCCTAGGCATTATGTATAATGCCAAACGTCAATTAGGAAATATGATAAAAATAAACAATATTGGGTACCACCCCTTGTTTAGTCACGAGGCTCCTACGATTTAAGTGGTCAGCCTCGACGACTACACCACCGGAAAGAATATATACTAATGATTGTTGAAAACTGCCTAAAGAAGAGGTGACCATACAAAAGGTAAATATTTTAGGCGTATTTAAAGTGTATATAAAGAATATTTTTTTTTTTTTTTTTTATTTAGTTGACCCGCGGCTACTAAGGCCATTGGGTTTTTTTAAGTAAGGTTGGTTCGGTAGGTTGTATTTTTTTACGATTGATACGGTTGATAGCAAACACGTGTATGTGTGGCAAGGTTTTTAACCACTATGATCCCGAATGGTCACCCATCCGAGAGCTAGTAGCTGTGGCCGTTACTTACTCCCAGTGGCATTCCGCAACTGGAAGCAGCCAACGCGCCACGCCAAGCCACATATAAAGAATATAATACAATTTAGATATGCAATATCACAATCACTGTCGTCGTGATAATAATAATAATAATATTAATAATAATAAATATATATAAATATATATACAATATAATAATATTAAATAATTTGATTTTTACTTTGCCCCCCCCCCCCAAAAAAAAAAAAAAAATTGGCATTTTACATAATGCCTATATATTTAATAAAATACCTAGGTTATATTATGTAAAATAATATTGAAAACTCTACGTTTTATTTACATTGACTTGAACCGGTCGGCGATATGCATAATACCTAATAATTTTGCAAAATACCTGAATTATCCCTATTGCCGGTAACATATATATATGATCTTTTGTAGGAAACGGGACCATTTTAGAGTGGTGTTGGCGGCAACACTGTATAGCTGGGAAAACGAAAGGGTGGGATCATTTTTGCACATGCACAAGCGTAACTACCAGACATCAGTTAGTAATCATGGACCAGTGGATTCGTTCGCACGCGGATTTTTCGTGTTGACGTACCTATTTTTTTTTTTTTTTTTTAAGTTCGTTGCCACTTCGATTTTAGACGACATAATTGATTCTATTAGTGCGTACGTTCGAATTTTACTACGGGTACTACGGAACTTTTAATATCATATCGTTTATTTTTTTGTGTTTTATCAGCGAAACGTGGAAATACATTTTATTATACTTTGTGAAGCCTATTTCATAATTTCCCGTTTCCAAAGAAGACGCAACATTACGTACACTAAACACTCAAACACGTATTATGTTGCATACAAATATTCTACCTATTTTACAAACCTTTACAATAATTCAGCAACATATTTTACCAGAAACAAAAGAGGAAAAGGCACAGAGAGTAAATAACAACAACGGGTGACAATAAATATAAAAAGCAACATTTTACATTAAATAAATAATTAACCCCCAATCCTTGATACGCCCCGACGGATCCTGATGATCCACAAACGTGTAGTATTGCTGTTTTTTTGCAATACAATTTAAGACACGAGGTAAATGTTTGTTATATGTACCTATATAATATGTTAAACAAATACCTATTTTCCACCATAGTAGGGTCGTTTTTCACGACCACCACTTTCTAAAACTGTCTAAAGAAAATGGTTCCTTCCCTGTTTATGAAACATTCGGTGTATTTTAATTGTTAATAGAAACTTAAGTTAGGTGTATCGATTTTTGAAAATATGTAAATTAATAATTAGTTTCACGTTTGCCAATTATTAATGAAAAAGGTAAAAAATTAAACTTAGGTACATAAATTGATGATTTTTACGTTCACCAACTTCTAATTTATTGTACATTTAATATAAAATCGGAGCAATAATTTAAGTTAGGTTTACCGAATCGATAACATGTAAAAAGGTTCGGGCCGTTTTCACGCGCCCCGATAAATTATATAGTTAATTTAAGTTAAATTCATCAAGTTTTGAAGGTGAAAAAATGTAATTCGGATCGTTTTCACGTGCCCCGAAAAATTAAATAGTTAATTTAAGTTAAATTCACCATGTTTAGAAGATAAAGCAAAAAATATATTCGGGTCGTTTTCACGTGCCCCAAATAGTTAATTTAAGTTAAATGCGTTGTGTGCGAAATGTATTTGTTTTGTAATTTACGAGCCCAATATTAATTAATTAGGTTAAAAATAGTTTTTTACTTGATGAATGGTTTTTTTAAGTTCGCCAATGTTTCATAAATTATTAAATGTAATCCTGTGGCATTGTTATTAATCAATACCATTACCTACTCGCGTTATGTCATCTAACTCCTTACAGTTTAAATAAATTATAAAGAAAGAAAAAACGAATATTTTATCGTTTTTGGACGAATTAACTGAATGTTGTATGTTATATACAATAATGTATCGCTTTTTTTTTTTTTTGACAACCACCAACCTTTTTAATTTATTAAACGTGTATATAAGATGTTGTAAAGATAAACTGATAAAGTTGATTAAGTTTAACATATATACGTAAATATTGTTTACTAAATTATTTTTTGATTAATAGTTGTTTATTTTTTTTGTTTACTAAAATAAATAAATTAAATATATTGAAATAGTGAAAAATATATTATGATAATATGCTTGTTCCCAAAATCGTATTTGCTATTTTTTCTATTCTAATTAAATTGAAAATATTTTTTTAACTAGTTCATGAGTTCATGTGTAATGTTTTTAAATTTTTAATTTCTTCATGATGACATAACGAAAACATACAACTTCAACGAATTCAATCAATTTCCCCTAACTTAAGTGTGTTTTTCCTTATATTTGTCAACTTTTGACAAATATTCGTCATATTATGAGTTCACCGAGAGCTAAAACTCATACAGAATTGTAAAATAATAGATGATGATGAGTTAAGTGATTTTAATTTTTGAAATACCCTATTTATTTATTTTTACAATTCTTGCCACGTACGTTTTTCAGTATTATTTTTTAACTTAAATATTCATAATATAATTTTCTTATGAAATTAATTATTTTCAGCTTATAATTAATATATTTTAAGTTAGTTTGAAAAATGTATGAAGTATGCACATTTTTAAATTTAATTTATTTTAAAGTAAAAAAATATTTAATTAAAGTTAGTTATATAGTTATGAATTTATGTTAATGCATATTTTTTTATAATAGTTATTTTATTTATTTAAAAAAAAAATTAAGTTTTTATTACTATTTTATAATGATTCACAAGATGTTTCGTCCAATTCATTAATTTAAAAATGACTTAAAAATTAAATTGTCAAAAATACAACAACTTAGTTAATAAAATATTTTGTAAATAAAATGTACCTATAATTCTCATAAATTCTGTTTATAATAGAAAAGTTATTGTATATAAGAATTTAAAACTGCATTTTTTAATATTATTATTATATTTGTTGAGTACACGTCGAATTAATATTTTTCTAGTTCGTCTGTTTTTTAACGGGGTATTGATATTTCTTGTTTTTGGATAATATTATTGAACTGTAATTAATACAAGAAATGTACAGAACGAATAGTCAAACTGAGCGAAGAAAAAAAAAAGTGGGAATGCAATTTATATTGTTGTTTAGTTATCCGTAAAAATAAGTGTACATGAATTGAACGAAATTTCTTGTGAGTGTAATACCTACATATTATAACTACTTAATTTTTTTTTTTTTAATATTTATGAATTCCAAAAACATACCGTGAAGGTGACTTGCTAACGAGCTCTCGGATAGATCGTCCAAGCTCGGCACAGCTGTGTGTGGTGGAGTATGGCTCGAGTGGACCTGGACGTGGTAGTTGTGGCAGTTGTGGTAGCTGTGGTAGTTGTGGTAGTTGTGGCAGTTGACGAAACCGGCGATGTGTTAGAAATTCGGGGAAATTAGTTGTTATATTGTAATTTTAAAGTTGCGATCGCAATGAGAGAGTGAAAGAGAGCGGGTCTGTCACGGCCAACGAATGAACTCGAAAGTTCTGCTGTAAAGGCAAAGTCGTGATCGCAAAGATAAATCAGAAGAGAGCAGGTATGCCGCGGTCAACGAATGAACTCGAAAGTTCTGCTGTAAAGGCAAAGTCGCGATCGCAAAGATAAATCAGAAGAGAGCAGGTCTGCCGCGGTCAACGAATGAACTCGAAAGTTCTGTTGTGAAGTCAAAGTCGCGATCGCAGGGAGAAAGCAGAAGAGAGTAAGTCTACCGCGGCTGACTAGTGGATTCGAATTGAAAGTCCGGAGAACGAGCTGTGCGGTTTTTAACGGCTGCGGTACACCGTCTCCACTTGCCGCTAGCGCCGTGGGGGCTCACGACCAATGAAAATGTTCCGAAATGTGCGGAAAGGCACCCCTGGGAGGGCTTTTGACTGTCGTAAGTAAACCCGTAAACGTGTGTAATGGTGTGTACACATTCGTAAATAAACGCACGCACACACGCACACTTGCACATATGCAAACACGCATATACGTACGCCTACGTATTCCTGTATGTATATATTCGTCATCGGGACACGCCAATCGCCAAAGTCCTACCCCGTAAATAGGCGTGTCGGGGGGCTGTAAGGGCGTTAGTCGAGCAGTTGAAAGACATGCGCGTAGGGGTTGCTGTTCCGAGCAAATGCTCGTGGGCGATCGTACGCGGGCGGTACGCCACCAGACGGCAACTTTAATTTAAAAAAAAAAAAAACGCGATCGGTGGCGATACCGTATAAAATAATATAATATTTTGGCGTAACAATATTATATCTTGCCCGCGGTTAAGAGCGCGAAATCATTTCGGGAAAAAAATAAATAATAATTATTTATTATAAATACGAATTTTTAACGGGAGACAAATTAAATTAAATGTATATATTATTATTGATAATGATATCGACGTTCGCTCGAGTCGGAATTAAATTAGTAGTCATTTTTCTGTACGCACAGAAAAATCTATTAGTAAATAGTTGTGTAGATGGTTTTATAAATGTATTGAAGATTAATCTCGTCGATTTAGCTTTTTATTTGTTTATTTTTGCGATATCTAAAGATGATTCGAGAAAAATTTCTATCATTTTAAAATTTTTAAACAATTAATTCGAAAAAAAATAATAGACTTACGATGACAACTGAACAAATAATCTAAATTAATATTAATATTGCTGTTGTTTTTATACCTATTGTTATTTTCTATACTATAACGAAATAATATACCTACCTACGTCGAAAGTCCGATCGACTGATCGGGATGAGATAATATTTTTTAATTGTATTATATGCGTCATACTTGATATATTTTGGAACACATCGACAGCCGTCAATATTTTTTTTCCGATTATTGTAATCGTGGTTATTATAATCATCTTCTATTTTTTTGTTTATGAATATTAATAATGTTTGTGTATATGTGCGTGTAAGTTAGTCAAATAATTGATATTAGGTATACCTACATGGCTACATCGTTTGTAAAATGTAACTGAAATAATAGTTTTATAAGTAAGCTATGAGTACCTTAAACATAAAATCAAATAGATAAATTTATAATAGAATAATAAATTCTTAATATCAATCATAAATCATATTATATTTAAAGATGGTCAATGTACATGATTTATTGTAGCCGGTTACAAGCTAAAAGTTAGACTAAACTAGTCTACAGTGCATCTATAGTTGAAATGTATAAAATACTTTGGAAATCGGTGCCAGGTTACAAGTTACAATTCAGTACTTTTAATTCAAAGTAACAAATTATTTAATTATTCAAGTTTATTTAAGTTTATTTGAGAAATTAATGAAACAATATGTTAATTATTTCTTATTTGTTTGTATGAGGGATTGAGAAAATATTTTATCTAAGTTATTATTAAAATTGACACTTATTAAAATATTAAATATTGTAATTAATAATATTTATAGTTAGAGCATACTATATAATTAAATATTTAAACACTAAATTATGAATAAAAATAAACAGAGTGATTCATTAAGAATGTTCACTCCCTTTTTTTTTCAATAATGCATATTCATTCAAAATCAGATTTCCGGAGTTTTTAAATTTATTATATTTTTAAATTCTTGAGTTTTTTTTTACTAGGTACTTTAATGGTATTCTGTAGGAAAATATGGAATTTATCCTTCGCAAACGATAATAAGTAATTAAAATAATATAATAATTTATGGTATTAATTTAAACTAAATACCTATTAAATGATTTATTAAAACATATATATATTTTATTATATTATATTCATGGATGTAGTCAGATACTCAGGTTACAACTTAGTGTGGATTTTTTATGTTTGATACAGGATATAAGTTATAATAACATAGCAGTCATAATAATTTATAAAAATTAAATATTGTGATATTTTTTACTTAATAATTTATTTTTTATATGGTTTAAAATTTATTTGCATATTGTTGATATTAATAAAATTAAAAATACGTAAAAATTATAGTTTATGATATCAAAATATTATACTTGAAAATAAATATAAATATGCTACTATTGTCCGTGTACAAATTATATTTGGTTGTAATTAATTTAATATTAAGTGTTTAGTGTTTACTAATATTTATTTGATTTACGACAAGGGAACTAAAAACATAAAAAAATAATTTATTCTAATATAAAGGAAAGCACTCAATAACATTGTAAAAATAAAATGATATAATATAGTTAATTAATTATTATCACAGTTTGTGAATACTCACTCAAAGTGTATAATGTATTTTGCACACATAATATAATATTCTAAAACCATAACGATATATACCAGAAGGAGCTTTTTCTCATACCATTATTCGAAGAAAGAAAACAAGGTAAAAGCATAATAATTTTTATTACAATAGTATTACAAACTTATTATTTTATAATATAATTGTTACAATGCTATCATATTATATGCAATTGATTATTATATTATATTGAGCTTATTTATTTTTATATATATTGCATATACAACATTATAATCTAACCTACATAATATAATGTACATATTGTACCTATATATTAAATTTTTGATGAAAATCCATAAAAATATAAGGTTATAAAATATATATTTAATGGAATGATATCAAACATTTTTAAAAACATATTTGTACAATTTATAATTTTTACTCTTGTGGTGAAAAAATAACATAAGTTAATAGTAATATACTTATATACTAGAACCATTGAAGTCGTGGTGTTTTCGAAACGATAGTCAGGACTCAGGATTATTATCGTTATTATTATTTATGACAGCGTATAAAAAAAGATTGTTTGACGAAGTCTGCTTACGAAGAATAGAAAATTGAAGTTTTACAGGTGTATATATTTTTTAAAACGGTATCATGCATTTATTTATTTAAATCTAAATTTTAAAATTTTATTTTAATCTAAATTTATTTAAATCTGCGTTATATTGTTGAAAAAACGTAACAAAAATTACCTACTCATATATATTTTAATTATTTTTCGTGAAAAAAGTAACACAATAAATATGGCTTGCATACACAGGACTTTCCAGGTCCTCGTTTTTGCAAATGATCGATCGGTATATAAAGCATACATATTATTTTTAATCTATAACCCGATAACCGAATTTTAAGATGGATCGATAGTCACTACTATAATACAGTGACTAGTAACTGGACCAAAGAGTATTAAAGTAGGTAGTGGTCGATCAACGATCGTATCGTAATAAATTTAATATATGTATATTAGTGACCGCCGTAATTGATTATGTATAATTTATTCAAAGTTTCAAATCCGTGAACCCATGGTGGTAATGTGCAGTGTTATTATTATTATACATCATTAAGAAGAAATCGCGCATTTGTTGGTTTAATCGAATAAAAATTTGTATAATTTATTCATCACTAATTGATTTTATGAATAGAGTAAAAGAAACATATAGGTATAAATATAAATTCTAAATATGGAGACGAGAACTAATTAACGGCTGCCTAGTTAAAAATAGGATTATTATTATAATTTTCAGTTAATAATTATTACGCTACTGTTGATTTCAAAAATATGTAAGAAAAAATTTTTATTTATCATCACCCGGTTAAAAAAATGGTATTTTTTATTGTTGCATATATACACGGATTGGGATTTTATAAAATTAAATGTCAACTGATCGTTCATAATGTAGCTTAACGTTTAGTTGAATTTATGTTCCCATCTCGTTTTATTTATCTTCATTATTTTTCTTTGAATGAAAGTAAAAAATGAATTTCCATGTTTTAATCTTATAGTTCTTACTCTACCCTACAGGCATTCAGAAAAAATAATTGATCATACACGAATGTCGTCCAAGACGATTAAATTAAATATGCAGAACATCACAGTATCATACATTATGAATATTTGTTGATACTTTATTTCTGAATGTTCACTTGCAAAATACTCTATCTTGAGTAAATATTATATAAATATAATTTTATATCCGTATACTTTTTATGCTTAACAGTTTTTTACGGTATTATTGTGATGACTTATATACATATATATATAATTCGTGTACGATAATCGGAGTATAAAACGAATTTTATCGTAACGCACGTATGACAGGGCAATTTCTGTTTTGCGGTATTATATTATAACATACTTGCACTATATAATACAATAAAATGTAATAAATATAACACACGTGTAATGTGTATATTATCTTCGTATAGTGTACCTAAGCGTTCTGACCACGGATATAGCACGTTTGTACACGTTACGATCACAAACGGCGCTGCCGACTTTATTATATAAAATTTTATTATTTTATTATATTATCGACAATAATAATATTGAAAACACACGAACTCGTCAGAACTTGGTGTCGAACATCTGGGTGGGGATAAATAGGATAGAACAATAATTTTATTGAATTAATAATGTTCGTACCGTATCACTCAAAAGTGTTGTAGCGGCCGTAAGTTTCTGATATCGTTTGAGATTTTCATTCTTCAATATTTAAAAGATGATGCTAAATGTTTAGTTCCCATCAGCATAACTGCACACTACCGATATAAAGTATTTATACTTTATACTACGATATTCATAGTTATATTGTTATACTTGTATACCTCACGTTTTCTAAAACCAATAATTTTGGAGTTTTTTTTAACAGTTCACAAAATTAGGAATTTTATCAATATTTATTGAAAAAAAAAAATAAAGTACTTAGAAATATAATCTGAAATGTCTAAAAGTAGTTAAATAAAAGTTAAATTAAAAAAAAATATTCTAACAAAAATATCGAAATGAGAAAATAAATATATAAATATTATTTGATAAAAATTCAATATTTATATAGTTATTTTTTTATTTTTTTTATTAAAACAAAAATAACAAAATCATTTTGGTCAAAAAGTGGTTTTTCATAAATGTTGTCGTTTTTATTTTTTATTTTT